GGAAAATGTGATTACAAAGACAACCGCTAAAAGCTTTGTTCCACCATAAAAAAGTATCTACGTTTTGTAGCACATTAAGCCAGGGAGAACTTTCATGAAGTATGACAATTTTATTGAATATGAAAAGAAAAGAACAGGGCTAGTGACCTTTTGAAATATAATAGAAACATGAAATCTTACAAAAGCTGCAAAAGATCATTATCAAAACCTCAAGAATAATAGAACCCATTTAAAGGGGAACCAACACCACAGAATAAGTGTAGATAATCTGTAAAACGAGATAAATTCCCACTTTTACTGTACAACAAATCTTACGAACGTGTACAAGAGATATATACACGGATTTTTTTTGGCATGATGTTATGCCTTTTAGCATGACATGGGCTGTCATTTTCTTGAAAATGTGACGTACCAGTTGGAGCTGTACATGCATTTATCATGCACCAAGCTTTAATTGGAAGGAATTTTTAATCCAATAACAAAACCTTTAATTTTCAATGAGGGAAAATTATAGCCGAGAAGGTAAAAATTACATTTGGTGAAAAATATATAATAGGGTATCAATTGGTACTCATTTATTTATAGATACTAAAATATAGTGGTTGAAGACCTTCACCTTAGAACAGCACCAACTTATTTATGCAATTTGCGTTCTGGCAATTAATGTAGATAATAGCAGGTGAATGAAACGCTTCAACACCACAAACACCTGGGAAGGAAGCATCCATAATTTCAAATACATTTAGTTGATAAACGACTCCTCATAGTACGTCATGCAATCAAGAAAATGGCGAAGCCCATGTCTTGCTGAAAAACTGTACTTTATTCTAGCTTTATGCCTTTCTCATCAACTTGGGTGGAGAATCAAAACAACCAAAGTTATCATGTGGGGTTTGTTCTTCTTAGAAGAAGAAAAATTGTTCTTATTGTGAGGCTGAGATTGATTTCACCGGCAGTCGAAGGCATGCTATGGGGCAAGTACAGGAGAAGGGGTGGGGGAGAGGGGGGGGGGGGGCTGGTATTACTGTGTGATGAAATGGACTCGATTTTGTTACGTTTTCTCACGTCCTCCCCCTCACTTTCTTCCCTTCTTTCTGTATCTCTCTTTTTCTGCCTTTCTCACTTTCTACTTTTCCTGTTCAGTAAGCGAGAGGGGCAAATGGCCTCTGTAGGCTACGCCACATTCGGCCGGTTTTCATCAAACTCCCCTATGATATGAAAACCATACTAACTTTGATTGCTTATCACCTGTGTAATGCAACTAGTACTGAATTATTCACCCTTTTACTTCCCACTCACCTCCTTTGAATAATGAAAATCTAATCGCAGTGACGGAACAAATGTAAGTTAGGATCGGCACACAAAACATCGCAAAGGATGCCATTTTAATATCAGCTCTGATTTAGAGATAAAAGCCGAGTATGACATGAATAGTATTATCAAGTGGTGTAAATTGCATTATTCACGAGTTTATTTCAGGCATATCTCCTAATTAAGAAAAATCCACCCGGAGAAGATTTCTATCTGGTTTTTACTTACTTCAGATTTATGAAATAAAGCTTTCTAATTCAAGTTTATGCCGTCCATCCCTCCTCTCTCTCTGACACACAAACACACAAACGCACAAACACACACAAACACACGCAACACACAAACAACACACATACACGCACACACATACACGCACGCACGCATACACGCACACACCCACACACACATGGTATAAAGATATACATAAAAATGATGAAGACAAAGGGAGTACGTGTTAGTGTGTGGGCGATTGTTGCAGTTGTGTGTGTGTTTTGGTGTGTATGCGTGTGCGTGTGTGGATGTATATGTGCGTGCGTAGTCGTAATTGTGAGTGTGTGGTGGTTAAATACTGAAAGAGAGAGAGAGAAATTTAAATGTGCATGCGCATGTTTCAAACAGATTTGAAACGCCTCAGGTCTTTGATTATACCTTTAACGTCGTCATGGTAAAGAGGCCACCTGGGCGTTACATCCACCGAGAAGATGGTTAATTGTTAAACCATTGATTCTTTCCCATATAAGCTAAATGCAAGTTGTTGTCTTAAAACAATATATTTCATGGAACCTGGGATTTTTCAAGGATTCTATAAAAATGCTAGTGGCTGCAGAAAGAAGAAAAACACAATTTACAATTATATCATAATGATCTTTGACTCCTTGAAATCCGTTTTTCCAAATTTGTGTTTCTTTCTTAACGACGTTTTGTTGTATACAAAATATAGACCATTTGTAGTTTTAATCGATCGTAATTTGCCAGTGTAGGGCATTCATGGGAGATAAATGATCTGTATACGAGTAAAGTGTTATTGCCCTTAATCCGATGACGGTGGAAAAGGAGGGGTCGTATAAAAAAACAAGAGGTGGATATAGAAAAGAAAGGAGAGAAAGAGAGAGAGAGAGAGAGAGAGAGATGGGGGGGGGGGAGGGTAGGTACGGAGAGGTTGCGAGAAGGTTGTAGGCGCAGGATAGATGAAGAAAGAACGTAAAGGTAGAGAGAAGTAAATAGGTGTATATATATATATATATATATATATAGAGAGAGAGAGAGAGAGAGAGAGAGAAGGGGAGAGAGGATCATGTATCCAAACTGCTTCAACATTTCATCTTTTGTAGAATGAAAGTTATAACGTGTTTAATAATCTGCTCGTGAAAATAAGTAGCTAAATAAGAATTACATGCAGTGGTTAATCACAAAAAACATCTAAAGTAGAACGGTTTTTAAATGAAATTTATCAGCCCTTTATTGTCAACTAATGTTAGCTTCTTTATTTAATTCAAGGATATGGATATCCTATTTCTATATGCGAAATATCTTTGTTTTGAATGATTATGTGAAATGGTAAAGCTTTCCACACCTGTGGATAATTAAAAAGAATCTCTCGTTTTCCGATGCAAATTTTTGTTCGTTATATAAGGCTTGACACTGGCCACGTAAGGGTTAAATGGAGACGAAGATAACAAGCACTTTTCTGATGAAGAATACCGATTCAGGCATTAATGTGAGCTATACATCGCCAAGTCCACCCACGCCTCTCCTAACGTGACTCGCAAACTAAATCTCCCACCCCTAATTGTTCATGCTTTATAAATTAACTCATCAACCCTTTTCAGGGGCGTGGCCACATGGGACATGTAGGGTACAGCCTTCTGATGTATTCCGAGGGGATGGTCGAGGCAGGGTAGCAGGTAGTGTATGCCATGGTCAGAGGAAATTTCTCTTTTTTAGTTGATCTCTCTAGACGGGCTAGACGATGTTTCAGCACGTTTTTGTCCAAAATTAACCACTGCGCCAAAGACGTTCAGAGACTACCTTGCAGAGATATAGGTTCCTACGCCGTTATATATTCTACGAAGGACCCATGAAGAAAGGAGTACAATAATTGGGTAATTGATTTTAGGAAACAGCCATTATGTTGATTGTCTATATTGTTAGAGCTATATGAATACATAATGTCTAGATGATTCAGCACAAATGCTTTTTCCTTTTGATCAAAATATGTGGAGTTAGATATACATATGAGAAATAGGACATGCGAGAGAGGAACTTAATCTTGAATCCTAACTTATCCCATTGGTTTTAACAAAACAGAAGCTTGAGAAGAATAGAAAACACAGGCCTATATAATTTCAAAAACAAATCGGGACAAAATGCATTTTGCTTGATTCCTGTAATATACACACAGTTCTTTCAAACATATTCCTTACGATTGGAAAGAGAAGAAATAGTAACATTTCATGTCGATTGAATAAATAAATATGCGACCTTGATTAAAACATCAAAATGGGTGAAAAGAAAACTAATACAGTTCGAATTTTTAAGGAAAAATACATAATATAAATTAAGTTTTGGTACTTTTTTTTTATTTGTCGGTCTTCATTTTGTTTCTTCGAGAATGAGAATACTTTTCCTACTGTTTTGTTCTTTTTGTCTTAAACATATCGTATTATGATAATAGTCCCATCGGCGTTATCCAATATTCATAATCTAGTGTATAATTATCGAGTGGCAGATCTTTGAGAGGGTTAAGGGGGCAAGTACCAATCACAAAGTAGATTATTTTAGTCGTCTCATTTATTTTGTTTGAAGCAAACACTCGTGCCAGTAGAAGATGATCCTTGATCTGCCATTGGCATTAGAGCTACAAAACTAAGAAATCTGTAAGCTGCAAACATCTTAGATATTTTTATTACATCAGTTATCTTATCAATAGATGACACATATTATAAGGGTGAAGCATTCAGGATACATTTCTTGTTGAAAGCAACTTCACACAAATATGATCTCGCTTTCTTTTGTATACACTCGCGGCGTTAAAGCCACCCCACGACCTACTTTTCTTTGTGTAGCTCTCGATCACCGGGAACGCTCAGGTCTCGAGAGATATCGATGCCTCTTTGATGTTCCGAAGCAAAAGACCGCACCGTAGATAGATATTACATCAAAACAACCATGCCTTCATCCAAACAACCAATCGTGACGATGTCATTGATGTCATCATGTGTTGTTAATCTTCATGTTTTACAAGATGTCATTGATCTCTACATCCGCTCATCATGTTTATAGTCTGGTGATTAATTACCCACAACCCACCTCTCGAGGGTGGTGGCATATTGCCAGTTTTGAAAAGTATAGCTATAGTTATTTTTCCACGCACAGACATGATGTGCTTGTGTGCGTGTACGCGTTTGGGTATAGTTACCTTGACTTTGTCCTCTTCCCCATTTTATTGGATTTTATAACAAACGATGTTATATATGAATGACGTCATACGATGACCCACAATAGCTGCGCATGCGCCTTGCGCAATAAAGTTGCTTTGGAATCTTATACTACGAGTATCAAACGTGTGCTATTATCTGTCGTGAGTATTCATCTGTGTACCTTAAGTAAGAGTACATAACAACTATTTTGGCGACGAGGATGGGATTTGTGTTTTATTCTACTTCTTGGTAAAGCTTTGATACCCAGGAATGGCTACTTTCGGAACAATTGGTGAATTTCGGGAGGACGAAGGGAGTTGGTCCCAGTACATTGAACGTATGGGGCACTACTTCGACGCCAACAGCATCGTGGATGGGGGACGAAAGAGATCCATCTTACTAAGTGTATGTGGAGCTTCAACCTACAAGTTGATGTCAAGTCTGACAACACCAAGAAAGCCGGGGGAAGTTGACTTCCAAGAACTTGTTAAATTAATGATTGACCATCGGGATCCAAAGCCCTCGGTGATTGTTCAAAGGTTCAAGTTCAACAGTCGTGCTAGGAAGCCGGAGGAATCAATTTCGACTTATATTGCAGAGCTGCGACGAGTAGCAATCGAATGTAAGTTTGACACCATTTTGGATGAAATGTTGAGAGATAGAATTGTGTGTGGGGTGGCGGATGATCGTATACAGAGACGATTATTGGCAGAGCCGACATTAACATTCGAGAAGGCAAAAGACATCGCCTTGGCAATGGAGTTGGCAGATAAAATTACGGCGGATCTACGAGAACAAAATAAGAGAAGCGACATGGTAAACAAAATCGCTTTTGCTGGTGGCCGTCGTATGCCAACGCAACGCCAGTTTTCAGAGAAACATTCTAGGTGTGGTCGATGCGGTGAAGGACCCCGCAAACAAGGCGCGGACTGTCCGGCGATAGATGAAGACTGTTTCCATTGCGGCAAAAAGGGTCACTACGTAGTGGTTTGCAAAGCCAGGGGAACGAAAAAGGACCAAAGAAAAGTCACTTATCAGCAGCGGGAACAGGCCAGTTCCAACAAGTCCCGCACCTATCAAATAGCAGAGGAGGAAGAGGAGGAGGAAAGCGAAACATACGGGTTGTTTCAACATTCCGTGAATAAAGCAAAACCTCCGCCGTACATGACGAAACTTTCTGTGAAAGGAAAGGAAGTTAACTTCCAAGTAGATACTGGCTCAGCGGTTACCATAATTAACGAAGAAACGTGGCTCTCACACTGGAGTGAGAAGGACAGACCCATTCTCAATGACTCAACAATCCGCCTACGCACTTACACCAAACATTTAGTCGATATTGTTGGGGAATATGAAGTCACCGTTTGCTATGAAAACCAGACGGTACGCGTGTTGCTAATCGTGGCGAGAGGGGGTGGGCCAAACCTCATGGGACGAGATTGGCTAGACGTCATTAGGTTGAACTGGAGAGAAATCTACTTGGTCAAAGTCGAAAATGACGTCTCGAGTTTGATGGCAGACTACAAGGAGTTGTTCGCACCAGAACTCGGGAAGTTGAAAGGTGTGGAAGTTGACCTGGATATCGACGAAGAAGCTTCGCCGAGATTCCTAAAGGCCCGACCAGTGCCGTTCGCACTGCGAAATAGGCTGGATGAGGAACTGGATCGCCTACTAGCGAATGACATCATAGAACCAGTTCAATATTCGAACTGGGCGGCTCCAATAGTTCCTGTAGTAAAAGGAGACGGATCAATCAGGGTTTGTGGCGACTACAAAACAGCCGCTCGTTCCGACACCTATCCTATACCTCGAGTAGAGGAGCTGTTTGCAAGGCTCGCAAACGGAAAGCAATTCTCAAAACTGGACCTCTCACACGCATATCAACAATTGGTCCTGTCGGAGAAATCGAGGGAGTTGGTGACCATCAATACCTCAGCGGACTATGGAATCGGTGCTGGCTGGCATTCCAGGCGTGGCAGTTTACTTAGATGACCTGCTCATCACAGGAGAGTCGACGGAAGAACATCTAAAGAACCTGAAGCGGGTATTGGACGTTCTTCACGAAGCAGGGTTACGCTTGAAGAAGGAGAAATGTGCGTTTCTCAAGGACGAGGTTGATTACCTCGGCCATACTGTCACTGCGAAGGGTCTATATTCGACAAGGGACAACAGGCGCGGATCCAGGATTTTCCAATAGGGTGGGGGGGGGGGGGGGCCGGAAATTTGAAAATTTCGCAGACCGTTTTTTCAAGGTCATATTAGAAGCACTATACCGGTAAATCTTTTGACATTTTCATCGGGGGGAGGGAGGGGCGGGGGGCTATAGCCTCTTGCCCGAAAAAGTAATTTTCTGGTTTCACAATTCTGCTAGTGAGCGAAGCAAGCGAGCAACAATTTGAGCATAATATGTATTTTGTGAAAGTGTTATTTATCACCAAAATAAACGAGAAAAGATATCAAAAACTCATATTCGGGCAGGCTCGCTGCCCCCTCCCCCTCCCCCTCCCCCCCCCCATTACGCGCGAAGCGCGGAAGCTTTGACCTTTTATATATTAATGCAATTATTAGAGAAAGAAGATGATTCGTTGTTCCATTCTCGACTCTTAATCCTTCTCTGAATTCAGTTTTTCCCCTCCCGCGCAAAGCGCAGAAGCTTAACGTTTCATTGAATTATTAGAGAAAGAAGACTATTCGTTGTACCGTTCTCGACTCTTAATCCTTGTCTGAATTCAGTTTTCCCCCTCCCGCGCGAAGCGTGGAAGCTTTGACCTTTCATTAAATTATTAGAGAAAGAAGACGATTCGTTGTACCATTTTCGACTCTTAATCCTTGCCTGATTTCAGATTCCTCCCGCCCGCGCGAAGCGCGGAAGCTTTGTCCTTTCATTAATTATTAATGAAAGAATATTTGTGGTACCATTCTCGACTCTTATTACTTGACTGAATTCTGAATTCAGCCCCCCCCCCCTACCGCGCAAAGCACGGAAGCTTTGGCCTTTTATAGTTTAATGAAATTATTAGAGAAAGAAGATGATTCGTTGTTCCATTCTCGACTCTTAATCCTTCTCTGAATTCAGTTTTCCCCCTCCCGCGCAAAGCGCAAAAGCTTAACGTTTCATTGAATTATTAGAGAAAGAAGACTATTCGTTGTACCGTTCTCGACTCTTAATCCTTGTCTGAATTTAGTTTTCCCCCTCCCGCGCGAAGCGTGGAAGCTTTGACCTTTCATTAAATTATTAGAGAAAGAAGACGATTCGTTGTACCATTTTCGACTCTTAATCCTTGCCTGATTTCAGATTCCTCCCGCCCGCGCGAAGCGCGGAAGCTTTGCCCTTTCATTAATTATTAATGAAAGAATATTTGTGGTACCATTCTCGACTCTTATTACTTGACTGAATTCTGAATTCAGCCCCCCCTACCGCGCAAAGCACGGAAGCTTTGGCCTTTCATAGTTTAATGAAATTATTAGATAAAGAAGATGATTTGTTGTTCCATTCTCGACTCTTAATCATTGTCTGAATTCAGTTTCCCCCTCCCGCGCGAAGCGCGGAAGCTTAACGTTTCATTAAATTATTAGAGAAAGAAGATGATTCGTTGTACCGTCATCGACTCTTTATCCTTGTCTGACTTGAGTTCCCGCCCTACCCCTCCCGCGCAAAGCGCGGAAGCTTTGACGTGTCATTAAATTATAAGGGAAAGGAGACTATTCTTTGTACCATTCTCGACTCTTAACCCATAGCCTGCCATGAGGCTGCATGCACGCTACCCATTGAGTGCCATGTGCGTGCAAGGGCGCATTCGTAGTAACAGCTATTGTTCAAGCTCATTGGGCTGTGCTGTGTGTTTTGCATTCGCCATTCATATAACCATCGCGTTAATCAGATTATCTCCAAAACAACCTGGCACAGTGGGGATTAGCCATGTGGCACGATAAGAGTTAATCCTTGTCTGAATTCAGATTTCCCCTGCCCGCGCGTAGCGCGTAGCGCGTAGGCTTTGACGGTTCACTAAATTATTAGAGGAAGAAGACGAATCGTTTTACCATTCTAGTCTCTTAATCCTTGTTTGAATTCAGTTTTCCCCCTCTCAAGCGATGCGCGGAAGCTTTGACATTTCATTAAATTATTAGGAAAAGAAGACGATTCGTTGTACCGTTCTCGACTTGTCAGAATTTTCAAAAATGTTTCTTTGTCTGCTCCTTGTTCGTCCTATGTCCTCTTACTGCCCCTACCGCCCCTGGCTACGCGCCTGCTTTAAAGGGAAAATGAAACAATCATGATTGTGAAAGCACACAATTAGGTTAGTAGAAACGAAAGGGGAAAAAAAGATCTATTACACCAACCATGGATAAATCACGGCCAGGAGCGTCATAGTTTTGTGTTATCGAGCGAGGGCCGGGGCGTAGCAACCAAGCAAGATTTTGCAATGTTGAATGCTGAAATTATGCATTCTAGAAAATCCCTAAGCCCAATATGTACGTTCTTTCGGCTATATTTCTTTCTAGCTATATTTCTAAATTTCCTGGGGGACGTGTCCCCCTATCGGGCCCAAGATTGCCGCCCCTGTCCATGATTACTACCAACATGAGTTCAAATACAAATGCGAGTTGGTTTGAGCTGAATCCAAATGAAGGGCAAAATAAGAGTTGTGATAGGCCCTACCGTTAATTTAAAATTTGACTGTTGAGTATATAACTTCTATTTAAAAGACATCCAAAATATTGTGCCCTTTTCAAATTTCTCACTAAAGAGTGATGACCGCAGGGGCTGTTTTTAACGTTTAACTTTGAATGCGCGGCTCGAGATTTTATGGGGCCGGCCCGGCCCCCCTCTATTCAATAACGTTTGCCAAGCCTTCTGCAATGACCCCAAATCTCCCGATTACAGTTTTCCCTTACACGTCGTTACTGTCACTTAGCGCCATTTTCTTGTCTTTTCCCCTTTCTCACCCGACTTTTCATCCCCCCCCCCCACCCACTCAGTGTTATCTAGGGTACGCACATGACTGTTCCCTCTCATTGAAAGCACCCCTCTATCTCCGGTGTGTAAAGTCAGAACGGGCCGGATTTTTGTGTATTAAGGGCCGGACTTTGTTGCGTGAAAAGTAACTCTTTATCGGAAATTTTGGGAACACAAATTCGGTCCCTCCGACCCCGGAGTGGGAGGGAGAGGGGGGGGGGGGGGGGGGCTTCCTTCTTTATCTTTTCTCTTTTCTTTTCTTTTCTCTTCTTTTTTCATTTCTCTTCTCCTTTCTTTTCTCTTCTCCTTTTTTTCTCCTCTTCTCCTTTCTTTTTTTCTCTTCTTTTCTTCCTCTTTTTTTTCTTCCTTTTTTTTGCGCCGCCAATAGGGGGGGGGGGGGGCCGCGGCCGTTTCGGCCCCCCTCCTGGATCCGCCACTGGGGGACAAGGTGGAAGCAATCACCAAGGCACCAGAGCCAACAAACGTGAAAGGAGCCCTCCGAAAAATGAGGGGTCCCCTTCACACTAGGTTATCGCGGTTCCTGTTAAGTTACCGTACAACACCGCAAGCTACTACAAAGCAATCACCGGCAGAGTTGCTAATGAATCGCAAACTACGTATTCGCATTACGTCAGTTCTGCCAGATGTGAACGCAACCGTAGAGAAAAAGCAGTTCGCCCAAAAGATCGCTCACACTACTCACGCCCTTCGCGAATTCAATGTAGGCGACGACGCCCTTGTGAGAAATTATGCTCGAGGCAACCAATGGGTACCCGGTAAAATAACCGACCGTACCGGTCCAGTATCATATGTGGTCAATGTCAGTCTCGACGGTGCGACACTTAAATGGAAGCGTCATGTTGACCAACTCCGAAGTCGAGTTTCCTCATCATCGACCGCGCGGAAACAAGACTACGCGAACGAAGGTGTTGTCCCTACACTCGATGAAGATGATGTTATCAATTCTGATAACGATAATAAGGATCGCGAAGATATTCACGAAGATCAAGTGGACATCCGCGAAGCTCGCGAAGACGACTTCGACGAAAGCCGCGACGTCAATCGCGATGCCGGTTGAAAGGATTACCCTAGACGAGAGCGAAGAAAACCTAATTACTATGGATTTGAATAATTTTGGACTGATGCAAACTGCTAATCATGTTTTAATTCTAAGTAATAAAACCATATCTCACTTGTTTCATATTTGAAATAATAGTCAATAAAAGGAATCGATGCCTTTACTCATTTGGTCAATTTTCAAGTCTATAGAAATCATTTGATATAAAGTAAATGTACAAGTAAAAGTATACTCAACTTGTTGAAAGTGGATTTGCAAACTGTTTATGACATATGGCTTAATGCTAGTATTCGAGGTAATCATAGTTTGGATTACCTAACATTTCATACCTACGATATTTGTTGTTCTTACAATCACTGTCTTATAATTTTAAAAGGGGCTAAGGGGGAGAGATGTTATATATGGATGACGTCATACGATGACCCACAATTGTAAAGCTGCGCATGCGCCTTGCGCAATAAAGTTGCTTTGGAATCTTATACCACGAGTATCAAACGTGTGCTATTATTTGTCGTGAGTATTCATCTGTTGTTAGTTGTTATGTACTCTTACTTAAGGTACACAGATGAATACTCACGACAGATAATAGCACACGTTTGATACTCGTGGTATAAGATTCCAAAGCAACTTTATTGCGCAAGGCGCATGCGCAGCTTTACAATTGTGAGTCATCGTATGACGTCATCCATATATAACATCCATAATGTTCCTATACTTTCTATACTCGGTGATTGACACATACAATCACTACGAAGTAAAATCCTTTTGTCCTCCCTTAAAATCTTTAAACTACACCGTTGTCGTCTGGTAAACACCACTCGGCGAATGTCAACTCTGAGATCCTTCTCGTTCATGACAGAGTAAACGTCATGGAAATTGAAAGTAATCTGCCTGTGCTTGAGTAATTATTTGATTGCAGTTTTGACTGAGGGTACATCTAGGTTGGATAAGTTAGAC